GGGGGGGGGGGGTGTTGAATTGAATGTCAATTATTAGACCCGGACTCGCCGACACTTGCTTCGCAAGTCAAACTCAAGGTATCCCCTAAAGGGCTACCTTTCGTGATAATGGTGGCCTATTCTTCACCCCCTCGAGCCCATCGCCAGCATTCTGGATGGTCCACCCATCCCGCCTCATGGATCCACACCTGTCGAGAATGGGCAGTGCGGGTTCGCCCCCCGCGTCGCTTGGGGACGCGTGACGGATCGTGACAGGGAATGGCACGGTGGAATTCGGCGGAAGGAGAACGCCATCGACGGAGATCCCTTGAGCTAGTGTGTCATCCACTGAACCACCGGAACTACCTGGCTGAAAGCATCGAATTTGGATGGAGAGGACTGCGGCGTATATGGTTACCTCCTGTTTCCCCACAAAAGCACATTGCTACAAATTGGTATTCCAAATTCCCCAAGTCCGTCAACACTCCATGGCCCAAGAAGATCGTCAATCCATGTTCACCCCCGCTTCACGCTGACACGCGAAACCGGACCTACAGGTTGCGGCTGAAGGAAGCAGCAGTCTCTGACCCGCCCGAGCGCGCGAATGGCAAAAAAATATCAAACGGACGGGGATGATGTCGATCTATCTTCTCTGCATTTCACCAATGATGTCTAATGATGTCTATCTTCTCTTGAGCCACAGCATCTCAACGCATCCCAACCTGAAAACGAAGGAAGAAGTCAGAAGACCTACATGTGAGTTCCTGACACTGTGTTTCTCCAAACATGAGCAAACTAGGACGGTCGCCGTGTTTTCTGGGTGGTCCCCATACAGCTGTCCTCCTCAAATGAACAGCAGTCTTTGCAAGACCTTCAGCATTCAGCATGCTTCTGGTGAGTCGATCGAGCGACATCATGCTGATTTATCAATTGCTCAATCAGTTACGCACCTCCCAAAAAGTTGAGTTTGAAGGGAAACCCAGCCCCACTACCAGCGGCAAAGGTGTCGAAGGAACGTGAAGGATGCCGAAAGACTGTGGGAATGCTGTAGGTCTCCTCTAAGCAATGCGCAGCCTTCCCGGCTTGAAAGAACCACAAAAACTGAACCAGGAGTGGCACAACATACCATGCCAAGAACATCTGTTTATGTGCCACGGTGAATATCAGCATAGAAATTGGACCAGGATTCACCTGGGGGTTGTCAACAAGAATTATTCCATCTTCTTCCTCAAACTCGTCCAATCGCTGGCCTTTCGCGCTCTGAGTGTATAAGTAGATCTCAACTATGAACTTTCTTTCTACTCCTCACCTCCTCCCCGACATAAAATAGATCTCTGGCAGTTTCCAACCATGCAGAGATGCTCTTGTTTTCCACGCGTTCGGATGCTGCTCTCCTGCTCCGGCTCGCCCTGCCCGTTCCCCATCTCTTGCTCGGAGCCCTGCGAAGCTCGACACCGGGACCAGCTCGGGACCAGGTCGGAGCCCTTCCTCTCCTCACTCGATCGGAACCGGGGTCGCGCTGGAACGCATGCCAAAGACCTTTTTCTAAATAGAAACATGTACTCAAAGACCAGAACCTGAACCAAATGGAAGGGGAGCGGTTCCGAAGGTTAGAGGTATATATACCTACTGAGCCTTAGACCTGCTTTTTTTAAGGTTGAAAAACTAAAACCTATCTTTATTCACAATGAATGATAAAAACATATCTAATCAAAAAAAACATATGTTTTTCTCATATGTCCATGAATGATGCATGTTTTAACCCTGACAAAGACCATGCATACAATATATATCAACCAGATCGGGTGTTCGTCGTTCGGAGTCGTTCGTGACCTTGAACATGTGTGAGTTGAAGCCGCTCACAGAAGAACCCATGAGGAATGTGATTGGTTGTGTTTCCAATATCTTGAAACTTCATGGTTCAGTGATGCCACCAATCCCGGAACATCTTACTTTACAATCTGCCTTGGCTCCACTCCCAACTAGTTGATGTCACTCTGGAGCACAAGAGGCACTAACATGGAGCACTGTATTACCAAATTCTATCCCTTGACTTGGGGGTCTCCGGCCCATGTGTGCTTCCACCGACTTGGAGCTCAACTCCACTTCGAGGACGCCCGGCTCCCCATGTTTTTTCCGGCAGGGCTGGGCAAGATGGGTCTCCATTGTAGATGTCCTTGGCTCATGGCCCACATATGACCATTCTTCATAGATTATATTCTTGGCTGGGCTGTGGATAATTGAGATATGTGATGTTATTTTTAAACCACAAAAAAACCTCTGCTCTTGAGGCAAACCTATTGGGTATTTGCTGCGTGTTCATGTGAGCAGACTATACAGCACAAGAACTTTGTGCTCAAGTTAGGTGGTAGGTTTTGGTCATTCCCAGGTGCCATGAAGTGCACGGGGCTGTGTCTAAAGTGGGAGCAATGTGCGGAGCTTCGTGAACGCTTGCGTACGACCAAAGAGCTTTTGGTTGATCACAAGGATGGTCCCATTTGCCTACCAAATAGGCCAAATGCAGTGGCCAATGCTATGGTTCTTTCCCCAGTGCTTTCGGAGCTTGCCAACACAAGCAGGTTTCGTTTGCCACACTTGGATGATTTGAGCGTAGAAGTTACTTCATTGTTCGAAAAGTGTGGCCTGTCGCTGGGAAGCAAAGCCATCTACAAGAGCTCTGTGGAAATCAAGAAGCTGGCAGGCTTTGTGAAGCGGAGGTGTGCTCGCAAGGAAGTCACCAAGGAGATGGGTTGATGTAGTTATCCATGTCAACACTGCTGAATTTGTATAGTAGCATGCCCTCCCACTTCTTGAAATACAACCCATACTTGTTTCAACATATAGTTGAAACTTGTTTTCGCTACAATACACCTTGGTAAACTTTGGCAAAACCATACAACCTTGTCATTGCCCTTGCTAGGACACTGATTTCCATAAACTCCTCTTGTTGCTGGATCCCACTCTGCAGGACTGGGTGTGCACAAGACCAATTCCAATTTTGTTTTTGCTATGGTTTGCTGTTTTATGGAACCAACAAACTGGAACCAATATTTACTGTGGGCCCTTTGCAACCCTCCAGGAAACCATTGAAACGTACATGGCATCCAAGAAATCCTCAACTTCGTCCGCTTCCAAAGATTCTCCTGATGAAGATGATGTTGATGACAACAGTGCTGATGATGATGATGATGATGATGAAGATGAGTCGAAGAAGAAAGAAGGGTTTGAAGAGTTCAAGCAGTGGTTGGATGCCATCACACCAACAACCCTCGCTACACCACCAGCAAGTAAGCCTTCCCCTCCAAGTTGCCCTGGCCCTGATGCATTGGAGAGCATCTTGGTAGTGCTTTATGAATACTGTATATTTCTATTTTGTTAGTTGAAGTCGATATTATTTTCCATCAATATAACGCAACAAAATTGATCCATATGGGCTCATCAATCCTTGCCCTTTCCATCCCAGCTTCTGTCAAGGTACAGCGAGGGCAAAGCGTCTCAAAGAACTCCAGGAGCAGATTGCTTTGAAGAAGGCTGCGCTCCAAAGGCCACTTTCCTTTGCTCAGCGCAGCCAGAGTTTAGAGGAAAACAACCTCTATAACTAAAATGTTGGTGTAAGGTGTTTTGGCCTTTGGCTACAAACCAAGTAATGCAGGGCTTCCTTTGGTGTCCACCCTTGAGAGTGCAACCAGTGGGGCACTACTGAGGAAGGCTCCTACTCCTCAACCATCCACTTCAGCAGTGACAGCTATGCCGCCACCGCCACCACCTCTGAAGAGCAAAGGTGCTGGGTTGATGAAACATGAACATATGAGAACACTTGGGACATAAACTGGGTAGCGTGTTCTATTTTCAAGAAATGAGGGATTTGGAGCCTAACAACCCCGTAGATCTTCGTGTAACAAAACATATATAGATTGGTCAGCCACCCAAGTTCATTGGATAGCCCACAGTGTTCTAGTTAAACCTTGACACATCCTTCAACAATGCCATTCCATTCTAAAAGTTTTTGGATGATGTTTGGATGAGCTGTGGCTTAATCCTGCCAGGCCCATGCCAACCAGTGCCTGTGGCGAGTGATCATGATGAAACGCAGCCCATGTGCGATATGGCCACTGCCAGTGTGACTTTTGATTTGACTATGCCCGTGGATGGTGATGACCTGGTGGAACCAGAACAGGAGGATGGAGATGATCCTGCTGCTGGCGCCAAGGTTGGGGCTTCTATGTCTATTTTCATGTTGGTGTAAATGCAGGGTTCCACTGGCAAAGAACACTCTTCAAGTAGAGCTGCGCCCAACCCCAATTGACATTTGTTGTAAACGCTTTTGAACACTGTACTTTAGAATTTCCACATGGTCTTTGAGAAAAAACCTTTATAATTAACATTCTTGGTCAAAAATGACATCCAGAACACATAAACTGATGTGTGTTCCATCGCATATCTTTGGACCAACTGTCAAGGCTGCAGTGCTGACCCGTCGTCAGCAACTACAAGCCAAAGAGAGCAAAGAACAAAAGAGACAGGCAGAGCAGAAAGCCAAGAAGGAAGCGAAGAACAAGAAGAGTGAAGAGAAGGTTAAACAAGGACAGGATGAGGAACCAGAGAACCTTCCTGTCAAGAGGAAGCGTGGCCAGAAGAAAGAGGAAGCTGATGCTGAGTGCAGTGGTGAGAAGGGTGATGGAGAGGAGGTGCCCAAGAAACGGGGCAGGGCAAAGGCTCAACCCAAGGAAAAGGCTCAGCCAAAGGAAGAAGAACCGGGCCAAATGGCCAAACCCAAAGCAGAGCCCAAAGGCAAAGGCAGGAAAGCCAAGGATTTGCCGGAGACCAAGGAAGAACCAGAGATCAAACCAAAAGCCAAGGCAAAGGCCAAGGCACAAGCCCAGGAAACTGAAAATGACAAGAGCAGTGCTGAGCCGAAAAGGAAAGCAAAGGCTAAGGCAAAGGCCAAAGCCAAGGCTGAGTCTCAGGAAAAAAATGTGCCTGAGGCGGAGGAGGGTCAAGATGATGATCTCAAGCCCAGGAAGCTCTTTGAATCTGATGGTGAAGCTGAGGCAGAGAGCCCGCATGAGCGTGTAGATTCCAAGACTGGTGAGGTGAAGCCACTTGCCCAAATCTTGGAAGAGCATGAGCCTCGTAAGGCCCGAAGGGCTGCAGGCCAGACGAAGAGCTTGCGTGAGGCATCAGCTGCTTCTGTGAATGATGAAGAAGTGGCCAAGCCCAAGGGCAAGGGTAAGAGATGTGCTTCAAAGCAGCAAGACCTTTCTCCTTTTGCAAAGAAGGAGGCCAAACGCCGCAAGAAGGCTGAGCAAAATGTCATGCATGAGGAGGTTAAGGAAGATCTTGCGCTACAGGGCATTGTGATTCAGCACATCAAGAACTCGGCCCAGATGCCTTTGGATGAGCTCAAAGGGTATCTGAAGACCAAGGTTGCCAGCGAGTTTGAACGGTCCAAGCTTGATACATACTGGACCAGACCAGCCTGTGGAGTGAAATGCCCAGAGCTACAGCCCAAGAATGAGGGGGGTGACAAGAAGGCAGCAAAGAAGGCGGCACAACAGGGCCCACAGGTTGCCTACTTCGGAAAGTGTGGCACGGCCAAGACATGGAATGCCAATCTGGTCTGTTGCTATGTCGCTGCCTCTCTGTTTGTTTTCCAGCTGCTCTTAAGATCACCATTTTTATTTTCAACATGTTTTCCCTCTGGTGAGCTTTTCAGCCATGTGCTGCGTGTCAAAAACAATATGATCAAATAAACATCCAATGCCTGCCCAACTGAATTACATTCCTCTCTGAAACCATGAGTGTGCTCCTGTCCAGCCCAGGCTTCTTGGATGGAGAAGGTTCCGCACGAGATGCTTTTGGACTATGAGGACCCCTTGAGCGCAGTTCAGGGCCAGATGTCATTTATCAAATACAATATCAATGTGGCGGCCTCCCAGGTGCCTAAAGATTGATGTTACGAACCATGACTGCAGTGCATTTAGCATTGGTCACAGTCTTCTTCAATAAAAAACATGATCCGATGGTCATCCTGTCCATACTTATGATTTGTTGACTGTCGTTGGGTGAGCCTATTGGATCCTGTTGGTTTGTTTTGTTCAACTGATATTGGTGTGCCCGATGAATGGTAAACAACTTGTGACTGGACCAACTGCAGCCCAAGTTCAGTAGAGATCTGCTTTTGCGTCCATAGAGTTGCCTTAGCTTGGGATTTGGGGGCACAGGCAAGTGGAATGGAACGTTTTGCAGTGAACGCGTGAAGTCTCTTCAGGGGTGCCAACTGCAACCCTTTGTTTTAGGCAAATGCAACAATAATGGTTTACATAGATCCTAGTTCTCTTGTGATTTGAGTTGTTGAAATTCAGCAACATGCAAACGGCTGTAGATCATTGTTCCTTCTCTGTTTGCCTGTACTATGTTCTAGTGCTTTGCCCACTTTGTTGTTAGAAAGTGGGAATTGGGCCCAAGATGGCAATGTTGATGGTGCATGGGGAATACCTCATGGCCCTCTCTTAGCGCGCTGGTCTCTGGGGAAAAAACATGTGATTGTTCAGCAATCCACAGTCCACATTGTAATATGTGTGCAGGACTTTGTTGACTGCAGGATGAAACAATCACAATCTATGGAACAACTAAACCTTTGCGCTTCTACATGGTATATCAAATCTGCAACTTTGGTGCATCCATGGGGCATGACAGAATGAGATAGCTATATATAATTACGAGGAATTAGAAACCGGTTCAGAATCATTATGATACATCACCTGTTTGAATGTGAGTGCATGACAAAGTCTATTGGTTTATGCTTTTTGTCCTTTCCCAATACTCCAGGTCCTTGGTCCTGACAAGTCTCTGTTGGTGCTTCCGCGTCCAAGGCCAGACTGCTCCAGATGCCACAATGCCTCATCTTCGAGGCAACAAGTGGGCAGTCAAGCTGGGATTGCTCCCAGATGACACATGTGCTCTTGCCTGTTTATGGGGCCCGGGTCTGCAATGTGATTTGTGAAGGGCGAGGATTGTTTCTTTTGGGCATGTATGATTGAAAGGGAATAATATAGTCAAGTGGAACCTAACAAACAAATACAAAAGACTTGTGCATAGTCATACATGTCTTTGACCACTTGTTTTGTACTGCGTATGCGGTGTGCGTGTGTTTTTGAGGAAGGATGAGTATATGTTTTTTTGTGTTGATGCAAGCTTGTTGGTGTAAACAGTGAATGTGAGACGTGAACATCTGGACCTGGAGTTCAAGCTGTGGGGCCTGAGTGAACATAGTTCAAGAGAAACTTCATTCATTTTCATGGCATCAGAACATTTTGAACTAGTCACAGCTGTTTTCCTTGGAAGAGATGTTTCTAACATGCTTTAATGTTTTGACTCTTTATCACTGGCTGGTCTTGGCCATGACTTGCAGCGCTGACTTTGTCGACAAGCTGTGCTGGCGTCTCAAAGCATTGGGAGCCCCAAAGGTCCCTTGCCTACATATCTTGATGTTGGAATGATAGCAGAATGCATGGCTATTGCAAAAAGAATATCTCATGCTGGCACTGTTTTGGAGGAGTGGATTGAATCAACACCTAACCTTACTGTTTTGGTTCTTTCAACAGTGCAGGTTCTGATCTTTGCAGTGCTTATGGTACTATGGACAGATGTTGCAACTGATAGTTTCAAGGACTGGTTCAGCTTTGTAGTCATGCCTACTTTGTTGGTGATTGGTTTCTAATTCTATACTGTAGTTTGGATGTCTCATGCTGTTAGTCTTTGTTCTCAAGCCCTGGTGTCCTTGCAGGACCTGGGACCCCTGTCCTTCGTTGAGATTTTTGCAGGTCAGGCGGAAGCTACACGCAATTTCCGCTCTTCCAGCTACAAATCAGCTCGCTTGGACTTACTGTACATGGACCCAGAACCAGGTAAACAGAATCCGATGGATTTAAACAGCGCTGCAGGGTTTGCGAACCTAAGGTATTTATCAGTGGGCTTTTGTTTGATATGTTGACTTTGTGTGATGAGTGTGAACTGATGTGTTTGCATTTCGCACATGGAGGCATGTACGAATAAGTGGAAACCAACGCTATCTTTGGACCACTTCAATACTGTGGACTGTACTCCTCTCTGCCCAGGACTGCTTTGGCTGTCATATTGAGAGGAGATTGGGAGAATGGGTGGCTGTCGCTTTTTGCATTGAAGTGTTCTTCGTGGACATCTGTAAACTCGGGGACATCGGGTCGATCAGTGTGTTCTTCAATTGGGAACACTCAATATTTGAGTGTCCAAGATGGCAATTCTCTTGGCAGTAGGAACTTTGTTGGCATTAGTTTGCTGCATGCATGACAAAGTGTCAAACCCTTTCCCTGCAACATTCCACTGTGGTTTCATCTTTGTGGCCTTGCTTTATAATAGAAGCACGTTATTTCTATGTCTTTATGGGCAGTGTCATCCTACGTAGTCTTGAAATGAGGATGGTGCTCCTGATGATGGTGGTTGTTTGCCTCAATGGGTGCTTCATGCTTGAACAGCCCTTCTCAAGCTATTTTGAATTCTACCCTCGCTTCCGGGATTTCATTGCTATGCTGCAAAAACATGGAGGTCGCCATGCTGTCCCTTACCCTAACTGACAAAGTGGTTTTGATGTAGTTTGAATTGTTGGAGGAAGAACTGTTGACTGAAGTTGCAATCAACATGAATTGTAGAATTGACTGATTTTTTGAATCCGAGTCCGGTCAAAGGGATATAGTAACATTATTGGTAATCTGTTGGCCTTCGTAGGTACATAAGGCAGCCTGGTACATGTTGCACTATGGTGGGCCCACACCGAAACGACATTATGCATTCAGTAACTGCCGCCATGTGGCAAATCTGAATGCTGGCAAGCTGAGGGGATGGGCCAGGGTGAAGAAGGCTCTCAAACAGGATGGGAAGCTTCAATCCTTGGTGGATCACTATGTGGACAAACAGGGCAAGAAACGGTGGAAGGGAAACAAATCCCTACGTGCCAGCGAGTCAGGAACTCATTTTGTTGAAACTCAAACAATACTGACTGAGTTGATTGGCATTTACCATAACCGTTTCTTCTGTGCATTCAATGGGGGAAACCACTGAGAAAACCTTGTTTCTGAAGTTTTAGGACTCAACTTTCCCACCAAGGCCAATTGTTTTGTTTGTAACACGTTCTGGCACCTGACCTGGGAGACCTTTGCCTTTTTGCTGGTTGGTTTCTTAGGCACTATCCTGCAAAATTTGGTGCCAAGCTGGTTTCCTTGTTCAAGGATATGACCACTGACCACCTTGGAATGCCTACCTTGCCACCCAAGATCCCGACCGCTGCTGAGACCTTTAACAGCCTTAAATTCGAAGATCTTTGGGCTGAAGCTGGCATGCAATCAGTGTGTCACTATCTTAGGAGCAGTGTCCACTTGCGGGTTCCTGAGGAGTTTGCAGGCCTTTTACCTCGGAAGCTTTAAATGCTTCTGGTGGTTCCGACGTTGCTGTTTGGTCCCTAGACCCTCCGACATACAAATATTTGGCTACATATTAGTTTATGTTGATCCCAAACAACAAAATCAACATTTCTACCCGTAAAAGGCCGTAATCCGTAATCACTCGTAACCAGCCGTAATCCATCACGACATGAACCCCGTAATATACCCGTAATTCTGGTGAAAAACATATGTATTATGCCATAATGACCATAATCTAGGATTTATAGATTCACTGTCCAAATGCCATCACATTAAAAAAACACATGTTTTAGGGACGTCACCAACCCATAATTTTCCTGACCCATAATTTGACCGTAATCAACCCATAAAATTCCGTAACCAACCCATAAAATTTTATGGGTATTTTCTTAAAAAACATAGGTTTTTTCACTATGTTTTAGTAACATCAAATCATTGGTTTTATAAGGTTTTGTTCGGAATAAGTCAACCATTAACATATATCGTTTGTTGTTGGTGGTGGGGACTAAGCTTTTGGCAACGTCTTCAATTGAACTGCCTTTGTTCAATTCAATGAATAATTGAGACCTTGGGGTTGAGTTCCAGGCCTGTCTAGATGTTCTGACATCGTATGTGCTGTGGAGCGAAAACGTATCAGGTGCATGTGTTTTTGACAATGTCATATAGAGCATGAAACAAACACACAGTTGTGTGAGCTGGTGTTTGTGTGGCATCAATGGTTGAACATGTACTTTTCTTTTGGTCTTGGAGGCATTTCTGTGTTTGCTAGCCAAGCAAAGTAGCAGTTGCTGTGTCTTCACATGGAGATTGCCCGTTCTGATACAGCACGCACCATGGTGTCCCGTGCGCATTCATCGAGTGAGCTGCGCCGGGCGCTTTCCTACATCATGAAAGATGGAGAGACTATGGATCTACCTGATGACTTGGAGAAGCTGGAGGATTGAATGGTTTGTAGGATTTGGACTTTGTTGCCACTAGGTAAACTCTCCTGACAAAAGTTGGTAAACATCAGCCGTTTTTTTCATGGGTCAAAAGGTCTAGGTGCACCATTAACCACCAAAGTTGCATTTCTATTTTGTCAGCCTGCAGGAAATGGAACGTGAGCTGAAAGACTTGGAGGTCAAAGACGCAGCAGTCAGACCCTCATTGTCAAAAAGAAAATCTGAATTCTAGAAATGGTGTCCTAAAAAATAATCATGATTGGCTATGAGAAGCTATGAGAACAAAGCATATTTGCTTTATCTCCTTCCCATTCCCCGTTCCCAGTCTTCGGCTCCAAGCAGCGGCTTGCTATGTTGATTGAGGCGGAATCCTTGGCTCATCTGGAGGAACTTCAGCAGGTTGCTTCTAGACTGCAATTGTCTCTGTGGAGATGTATGGACTGTAGGTTTCCATTGGGTGGCCAACAAAGAAAGCCATAGGAAATAGTTGTCAAAAGAAACTACATGAAAGTAAAACCTAACAGCCTTGTGACAAATATCTCCAGAATGAGCACACATGATTGTTTAGCTTATGAGTCATGAGGTTTTCTCTTTGGAGCTATGTGTTTGGTTCTTTGATTTTTTCGTCAGTGTTTCATCTAGTGTTTGCTGAGGCTACTCCCCAGGCTCGTGAGCAACCTGAACGTGCTGAAGAGCTACAGGAGACCATCCCTGCAACTGAATCACAGGTTGAACGCTCGTTGACTGATGCTTCCCCTTCTCTGACATCTTCCCTGGGACGTATGGACTCGATGACTTCAGATGACAATAAGCCATCTCCAGTGGCATCATCGTCTCCTGAGGATGTTTTCTGCCTAAAAAACATAAGTTTTCCACATGTACTGTGCTGTCTTTGTTTCTACGATGATAATGATTTGCTTGGGGCGTGGATGCCATGCCAGGAAATGGGTGTTCATGCAAGGTCACAAAAATATGTTGGTGGATTCAGGAAACCTAGCCTAAGCAGTGTTTCCCAAAAGGTATGATTGATCTTCTTGTCTGGGTGGATTGTACTCCATTCCAGTGCCAAGCCGGCCAAGCTGCTTCCAAGGTCACTGCACGCATTGTCCAGATGTACCAGAAAGGTGAACTTGATTCGGCGGTTGCAATGCAACTCCTTGGAGGGGCATTGAACTCCAAGCAGGCTGGTGGCAACTCAGGCAGTGATCCAAATGAAGCGGACAGTGAAGGTGGCAAGAAACGACCGGTAGAGCCATCAACCTGTGTGGAAGACTTGGATGAACTGTTAGATCAAGCCAAAAAAGCCAAGCTGGAATCTTTGACAAGACTTGGTAGTTGCATGCCATTACCTGAAATTTGGTGTGTGAATATGGTTTATGTTGCATTCATGGTGTGCAACAATATGTTCTGTGGATGCATACAGATTTCTTTGCGATTAGGGGTTGTTGAGTGCGCAAGTCATTTTAGGAAGAGAATGCTTTGAAAGCAAAGCTTCGTCGACTTTGTGAAGTCAAGAGTGGTGGTAGATTGCAAGTGCCGCAGTGGCTACATGATGAATGGAAAAATGGAGACCATCTTGAGATGGCACGCCAATACCAAGCCTGCAACTTTGACAAGGTCGCCCTGGCTGTTGTTGAACGCAGGTGAACTTGTTGTCAACATATATGTTCCTTCTGCCAAGCTTCTGAATTTCCTGGGTTAGGCAGCTCCAGATCCAGCTGTCCTTGATGCCAACCAAATTCGTGCGGTCCTCAGGCACGCTTCATCAAGTACAAAAAGAAGTCGGTCACCAAGAACGACAAGTCCATCAGTGACATTGCTGTAGGTTGGTACAGCAAAGATGATATGCTGAAAGTTCTCAAATGGAGTGCGAACCTTTGAAGCACTAGGTAGAATGAAGCTCAACAACAGTTTCACATGTCCTTTCTTGGTTGCAAGTCTCAATTATCTTGGGTTTAGCCCAGGAAGAAGGTTCAAGGTGCAATCAAAGTGTGCCAGCAAGATCCTGAGAACTTGGTGAGGCCATTTGCCAAGCATTGCATTCCAACTGGTCATACATAACATGTGTGCAGTTACATGTCTGAACATGCCAGCAAATTGTATAATTGTATCTACTCCATGGATCCACAGGGTTAACGCAGAACAATGTTGCAGTGGGTTTCTTGCTTTGGAGTAGGGGCTGATGAGCACTTCACTCAAGCCTTGTGAATCTTCAAATGCCAAACACCCCCAAATGTCCTTTGTTGTGAAGGACCTGCCGCTATGGTGGTGAGGATGAGTATTACATCCAAGTCCGTGAGACGGGCAACCAGCAGCAAGAGAAGATCCGAAGCGAATCCGTGGTTGAGCAAACTCAGGATTGACTCATTAATGTTTGATTGTTTCTCCAATAAATTAGTATCCCAATACAATATCTCATGAAGAGCCAAGGCTCAATTGCACATGAAGCCAGTCTCATCCCAGCAGTGTGGCGCTTGACCAAAGTGATGTCAGCCTGTCAGGATGATGGGCCAGCTGAGTTGGAGGACGTGCGCTTGGGGACGCTTGACCGGGCTGTTCAGCGTGACCAAGCCCTACAGGGTTCTGCAGTGCTTGCAACGAGTGAGGCTTGGGCCTGGTCAACTACATGAGAACCTGTTGTTGCATTTTTTTTTCTCTCTCTCTCTCTCTCCCTCTCTCTCTCTCTCTTTCTCTTTTATGTTTACTCTTTGGTGGAACATTTCATTGTAAATGTGTAAAAGTTGCCATCTATGTTGTGCACCTGGTAGGCTGCCAGATCAAAAGAGATCTTCACCAAGCATGTGGACTCTGTGCTTAGCAAAACTGCAAAACTCCGATCGCTCATTAGTGATTTGCAGAAGAACTACACTGATGACCCAACTGCCAAAAAGTGCCTAAGCTAAACAACTGGATATGTGAACAATAAACTACGATGAACTTGAACAGTGAGTGCTGCATGATGCTGCCAGCCTTCAAAATGCGATTCTCTCATCGATACCAGGGCTGTCATCCAGCTCAACCATGACCTTCAAGTGTTGGACGCCGAATACAACAAGTTATCTGAGCATGTGGCAAAGGGTGAGCGAGATGATCACAATGAAGTGTAACTTGATTGCATGTATCAGAAATGGTGACACTGCATTTTGGCCAGTACTGTTCGCTTAATACAAACTTGGTAACTTGAGTTCCAACAATGTTTTCTTCAGGTGGTGCAAGGAAGCGGAGACCATGTTGAAGGGCTCTACCTTTGTGTGCCTTGAAAACTGCTGACAGTGTTCGTTCATGGTTACAATTTGCAATCAAATCAATGCCAGCCAAAAAAATCAACATGGTACAGCACTGATTGCTAGGTGCACCAAAGTGGCTCAGAGTGAAGCAAAGATTCGGTGGGGGGCTCAAAGCAATAGCACTCAGGCTGCTCAGTTTTTTTCCCTCCCTGGACATGGAATGTCATGCATCCAAAGTGGCAATGCATGAAGAAACGGACTGATTCCCAGGAGTGCCAAGAAGCATTTCCAGAAGGTCAAGAAGGAGGAAGTGAAGCCTGAAGCGTAATAAAGCACGGAGATGCTTTGGGCAGGGTGTGCTGAGGTTCTGTAGGTCAGCACATGACACATTTTGCTGTGAAAACTCAAGGAGTTGTGGGGTGTGTTTTATAAACACGCTCCATTTGGCTTTTGAAGGCCTTCGATGTGGTGCTTAGGTAGTTCATGCAATGCACACCGTGGCCACATGACATTATATAGGTGTTTGGTAATGCTTTCAGTGGTTCGGCATCAATGAAACCAAGTCATCAAATATACAGTGTAAGGTGTGCATATGTATGCGGGATTGCGCCGCACGGATGCCAACTTTAGGTTGAAGCCATGTCCAAATGTGCCAGGGGAAAAAAGTCAAAAGAAAAGAACTGATGCCTGATTAAGTAATTTGGTGTTTCTCTTTTTGTTGACTCTGTAGACAGTGTAGTTCCTTTCACAACCCCCAAGACCTACAAAGACACTTGTCCTTTACCATCCAGTACTCTGAAAATCTATCATTGTTTGGCGACTCTTCACCATGCCAGGTCTCGTTGGTGAATCTGCGAAGCGATTTGCTGCCAATATTGGAGAAGGGGTCACTGGCTCAGCGCACATGGCATGGCCAGTGAAGGCTCTAGTGACAACTCATGGTGTTTGACGCTGACTGGCAAGTGCAGGGTTTTGGTTCTTGCTTTTGCAAAGAAATCAATATAGCACAACATGGGAAGTGGTGATGATAACTGAACTTCTAGAGTTTCAAATTCAATAATTCAAATATGTTTTTTTGGTGTTTCATGAACCACTGCAGTGCATGAAGAAAACATCCATACAGGGGTTTGGATTCAGGACAGTGCACCTCCATACTTCAATTGTTTTAAGGGCACGGTGGTAGTATTTTTTAACAACATCCAACATCTTTATAGCGTTGGGGAAGCTGCCATGTATGATGGATTCCTCTGATGATGAGCTGGTGGAGTTGCTCACCTGTCATCGATCGGTGCCTTTCTGAAAACCTTAGCATTGGAGTGTGGCTGTGTTCCTGTGTGTGTGGTGGTTTGTGGGATGTATATAACATTGTACCACTGTGTTTTCTGACTTCATCTAAGGATGAACTTGCGCCATTCCCATGGCCATGCAAGTCAGTGAAACGAGTCAGAAGCTCAACCCATGGGCACACAGACTGGTCACACCTGTTGTACCGGAATTTGCCCCTGGAGGTTGAAAAGAAGAGGGCAAACCATGGTTCCCAAAGTTCTCTGGCATGGAAAGATGATTACTTACAACATGATGACCTCAAGAACCTTCCCCGCTCACGGGATGTGTTTCACAAAATTGAAGTGGACCCTGAACTGACCATGGAGCTGCCGAAGCCAGGATCCAATGCAGGTCGGATCTTGGAACATGCTGTGCGTGTCTTCGAACAACTGGTGTCCAAACTTCAACCGCTTACATTCAAGTTTGGCATCACTCACGATGCATCAACTAGGTGGCACAATTCCAAGTTTGGATACAAGCACTCTCGTGGAGACAAGTTCGACCATATGATAGTCCTTTATGGATCATCTAATTGTCATGGGCCTGCTTTTCTTGAAGCTGCTCTCATTGACAAATTCCAGGGTTACCTGTTTGCAGTGGTTTTCTCCCAGTAGTTGGTTTTCTTGTGAGCGTGTCTTTCTATTGCAAGTTTGCTTTTGTTTGTGCGTTGGATGATTGCCCTTCCAGTTTAGATTGCTGTGCAATGAGGCTTGCAAGGATGCAAGAATATTCACCGTGGTGGAGAAACCATGCTGGATGTGAGTGGACCATACTTGACATATGTTGTGTACAAATCATACAAACGGCCCAGCATGCAAGTAAGGAGTTCAGGCGCTGGGCTTTAGAACAAATTCGAGTGCAGTGCTTCAATTAGATTGCAAGGGTTCAGTTGAAGCCACGTATTTATGAATGCGTGTGAGCATGTGGCCTGTTAAGTTTGAATCATTTTGTGAAGTGCAAGCCAGCCAAGCAATTTTGCAACATACGTGCATTTGTTGAAAATATTGCCTGCGCAAGCCTGCAAACAGGTTTCTTTCTTCCATCTCCAGCTGATTTGGTCGTTTAGCAGTGTTGTGCTTCCACATTGAAAGATGTGTTGAACTTGAAGAAGGCTGTGTTGAAGAGAGTCATATGTCATATCATGTTGTTGATTCTTCTCTTGCTTGCCCCATCTGGAATGTCTTTGCTGTTCTTCTGGATGCTGGCGTCTGAGGCCAGTTGCGTCAGCCAAATCCAGACGGCTGCAGCTGTTGAGACTGACATGGGGAAGAGCAAAGCAATTAGCAAGGGTGTGTCAGAGTGGGCAAGATGTGGTGTGACCCATTCTGAACGTGATGTTCACCGAACCATCAAGAAACAAAAAACGAAGCTAGATATACCAATCAGGACCATTCTTTGCAACGGAGCAAAAATACCTTGGATATCGCCTGCGTCGTGGCTTCGTTTTCTGGTTGATAAGGGGCTTTGGCCAGTGCTTGCTGGCTGTGGTCTTCATGACTATGATGGGGCTTGTCAGAATTGGTTAGAGTTTTGGCAGTTGTACCGCAAGGTCCATCCAACCTTTGGTCTATTTGACCGGGACGATGTGGACTTGAGTAGAACCGCAGCATTTGTGTTGCATGGTGATGAGGGGCGCACCCTGAAAAAGGGTGCAATGCTTGTGACTTCACTTCAATCTGCACTTGGGCGGGGCTATGATCAGAAGCGGGTTAACCATGCAGGCACATCACGGGATTTGAAGGTCAACTTTGCTGGTCATTCGTTCACGACCAGATGGATTGTACATACAATTCCAAAGTCTGCTTATGATGGCAACCCGGAGCTGTTCAACAGTGCGATGGAACACACAGCCAAATCTTGCCGGAAACTGCTAGAGCAAGGTTATGTGGATGTGGCGCGAGGTCATGAGACCTTCAGGGTGGTCATCCTGGGGGTGAAGGGTGATGCACCCTACCTTTCGAAGGTTGGACGTTTTTACCGTGCTTACAACACAACTGCCAAGAGGGGTGAAGAGCGTGGTGCACCAAAAGGAGTTTGCCCGTATTGCCTTGCAGGTACTCGAATGTATCCAGCTGAAGAGCTTTCCACAGCTGATCCAACGTGGCTCAGCACTGTGGCAGTGAAGTTGCCATGGACTCGGTGCCCAGCAGTCATCAAGCACCTTTTGCATGACACTGAGGACCCGGCAGACTTCTTCAAGAGTGATGTATGGCACATTTGTCATCTTGGCATTGGCAAATCTTGGATATGCAGTGTTCTTCAACTCATGATGCCTTTTATGCCTTGTCCGAACTTGGAGGCAAAATTTGACTTCATGACAACGGAATATCTTGCATGGTGCTGTTCGAACAAGAAGCAGGCCCACATTAGTCGAATCAGCTCGTACTTGATTTCCTACAATGATGCCACTGGTGCCATGGGTCATTGGCACAAGGGTGCCCTTACAAGCAATTTCATGTTGTGGCTGGTGGATTTTTTGGGAACACTTCCTCGTGATCCAGATGGTTACTCCATGAAGTGTCGTGCTGTGACATACAGAATGAACGCCATGTTTTCTGTGCTTTACAGAAGTGGAGCTTTTTTGACAGAGGAGCAGGCTGCTTTTGTTGCGACGCAGGGCTTGGCTTTCCTGGATTGCTATGCCACTATGGCAGCTGCAATGTTCAATGCTGGGAGGCAGCACCTTTACCCTCTTTACCCGAAGCTACATATGTTTCACCATATCATGATCACTGTGCAGCGGCAGGGGTCCACAGCAAAAGTTGCTGTGAACCCCACAATGTGGGGGTGTCAAATGGATGAGGACACGGTTGGGAGAGCTTCCCGGTTAAGCCGCCGTGTGAACATCCGCCTGGTAGCACAAAGATCCCTTGAAAGGTATCTCGTTGCAGCATTTACAGCTTTTACCAAGGCTGGCCTCTTGGGGTGAAAAGTTTTGGCGCGCTCCATGGTCAGTTGGGATCACACACCAGGGGTTGGGATCCATTATTTACCTGTGAATTGTGACATGGATGCAACATTATGCAGTTCATTGCATTCCCAGTCAGAGCACAAAGATTCAAGGAATTGTAAAACATAGCTTTTTTTTATAAAAGCTATCTTATTTTTCTCCACCCAAAAAAAAGAAGGTAACGGGTTGCGAAGGTATATATATGGGGCCTTGTTCTTATTTGTGGACCAAGAATCTCAATGAGACCTCCGCGCTCCAGTGCAATAGAACCCACTTTCAGGCCTTCAACAAGGATGGTTGTCCCATGTTCTCTGATTGTGCATCGCTGATGGTCTCAGCTCCGAACCCCCGGTTTGATGATCACACCGACTCTCAACAAACCCGACTCTCAACAAACATCATGCAAGCGAGGTGGTTGAGAGATTCGTGCCAATGATCAGCAACCCTCATTAAGACATTCAAAAGCTATAATTACAAGGGTCCACAAACCCGCCGAACATATGCTCGACACTCCACAAGCGCGCAGTGCAGCGGCCATCGGGTCTAGCGTTCTTTTTTGATAGCGAGGATTCAAGATTCCTCGTGAGACGACTCTCCTGTGACGTCGCCCAAGCATTGTTTTGATGCGGTTCTTGTGGTTTACTAAGTTTACTGTTCGCTTGGTCAGTTTGAGTTCTCAAACATCGCCAGTTGCAAAGTGCTGCAAACGCATCAGCCAGGGATGAAATCCCAAGGTCGCCATTGAGGATCCAAGAGAAAACCTTTTCGACAGGTTGCAATGTGCATGCATTTATGTGTGACGCGGCAACAATATCACCATTTGGAGTTGAGACGTGTACAATATATCCGCAGCCTTCAAGGTTAAATTGATAAACTCATTTCCCTAGCTGAAGCAGTGACAGGAACTGCAAGTAACAAGAACATCACATATATATATATATCATAAACCCAAGAGGCTCTGTTCAGCGTACTGGATGACCACATGGATCCGGTTGATCTGCAGTTGGTTCGTATGATCAAACACAACCAACCCCAACCCCAACCCCAAACACCACATCTTGACAGTGTCATGGCCGTGTGACCAGGTCCGCAGAACCCATGTCGGGATCTGTGACGATCTCTATGTCTCCATGTTGCTGGGCGCCGTGTTTCCACGGTCACGAAGCGAGCGAGCTTGTCGCTTCGCAGAGACTGACCCTCTTGTGGCTCAGCGCCGGGCAGTTTGAAGAAGAGCTACTAGCTGGTGTCTGGTTCCCTCAGTACAACCCTGAGCTGCCTAGGTGAAATGGTAGGAATTTAAGTGGTTTTGTAGCTCGCTTCCTGGGCAACACAATTGTTGCACCCTACGACTTCTGTCATTCGTGCTGGATGCTCAAACTTCTACACCCAGAAACCGATTCACACTAAGCCACTAAGCCACCAAGCTACGTACTAAGAGCTTCAGTCGGACTGTTGCGTGAGCCAATCTTCGTCTGGAAAGCGTGTGAAGCAGTAAGCAGAAACAACATAGAACTCAAAGAAGCCTTGCAGCGTGTGCAAGTGGTACTTGGGGCAGAGGAGACGCAGAAAACCTCTACAAATGTTCAGTGCTCTACAGCAAAAAGGTCCGTGGTGTCTTGTCCGATGGCAGCATTGAATTGAATCATGTCAAATAAAGACATCATAATAACATCTCATCTCTTGTAACAGTGAATAACATTGAATCCGAGTGATAACATGTCCAAAAAGCATCATAAATCATAACATTGACTCATGGTTTTCTCCTTTCTATTCGCCTGTATGCGACCACTTCAAACTGCCCGAGACGCGTTGATCACCAAACTCTTTGGCTGCGAGATGATTCTTCTCGCGTCTGCGCGTTGTTGAGGCCAGGACGTGCCACAGGCAAGAGTCACAAATCCAGTGATTTCCCCAACACTCTGTGGTCTCGGATATGGATGGCAGCTTCATGGTGGCAGCCCAAAGCCATCAACAAGATGCTTTCTACTTCTCAAATTCGTCCGCTCAGTAGGGAGCATAGCCCGGGCCCTTGCCATCCCAGCCCTTTCCTTTGCCGAATCCCTTTCCCTTGTCCCAACCCTTTGGCCCTCCCCAACCCTTTCCATCATTCCATCCTTTCCCGTCACCCCAGCCTTTTCCATCGCCCCAGCCCTTGCCACCCCAGCCCTTGTCGAAGCCTTTGCCATCTCCAAAGCCATCAAAACCTTTTCCATCGCCACAGCCCTTGCCGTTAGTCCAGACGTCACCTCCACCCCAAGCATCACCACCCCATCCCTTTCCATCTCCAAATCCTTTGCCATCTCCACATCCCTTTCCATCAAAGCCCTTCTCCCACTTTCCCCAGTCAGGTGGGAACATCCCCTTCCCATCCCCCTTCAGCCCGGCATACGCCTCATTTGGTGGCCGTGGAGGTGCTGATTTGGTCATTCCCACGTTCCCGCCACCGGTGAGGTCCGGAAACGTCGGAGCCCCAGGTGCTGGACCGCCCGTGAGGTCGGGGAAGGTGGGCGGCGGGGCGGAGAGGTCTGGAAAGGCAGGAGGAGGGAAGGCCATGGCGCCGGGATCTTCCTGCTCCAAGCAACATCTGTTGGAACAACGCCAGGCCCCAAACATTCAATTCCAGAGAAACTCGGAACGCTAATGCTCCCATGCGAGTTCAGAATATCTGAACCAATATCGGAATATGATGCTTCATGTCTGACACTCTTGGTCCAAACCAAACCGTCCCCAGAGCCCCCGTCCTGTGGTGGCATCGGCGGCATGTGTGGGGGCGGCATCCCCATGGGATCGGTGGGTGACATCGGCGGCATGGGCGGCGCCAGAGTGGGGTCAGCACCCGGAACCGGTGCGACCGGCGGAGCCGCGGCAGGTGGGGCAGCAGCTGCCAAGCCTTCAAGACCTGCACCGTGGTGGGTGGATGAACTGGTGGATGAAATGTCAATTAGACAATTACATGGGTGATTCCCAGTTCACACAGTCTTGGGTGGTGGTTGAAGCCATCCCCCCCCCCAAAAAGTATCATCGATATGGTTGTACTCCAGTGGGATAATTCATGAAACATGTTGAACGACAGAATCTTCTACGCCACCAACTGGACGTCCATTCATCTCGCACCAGTCATCTTTGTGAATGGTATGGTGCTTTTGCCGTGTTCAGCGGCACAGTAGGGTCAATCACAATGCTACTCCGTGGGCCACTGATATCCCATCACATCATCGGTCAGAAACCAATCGTCCCAAGAGGATGTGCTGTCTTGATATTGGATACCCAAAACCCATCCAATCCCTGTGACGGCTTGCACACCACAACACCCCCGAAAAAACACCCTTCCCCTCCCCCACTTCTCGCTCTCCGTCCACCGCCTCCGGAGGCCGTCAACGCCATGGCGGCCGCCAGCGCGGGGTCCGCGCCCGGCGACGGAGCCGCGGGCACGGCACCGGGCACGGCGCCGGGCAGGGCGCCCGCGGCCGCGGCGGCAGCAGCGGCAGCGGCTGGGTCGGTGGGCGCCTTGCATCGGTGGACCCTGAAAGGACTGAAAGGGCTGGGGTCATCTGGGGTCCTGGGAGGAATTTTAAACCACTCAGCCATTCAGATTTGGAAAACGAGCTTTCTGGTCGACGAAGCTGGCAGGCTGACCGATCGGTCGTATATCACTGGTTCCCCCGTCGAGATTCTCGGCCTTTCCGCTTTCATCCGTCCCAAAAGGGCCTGGACCGCCAACGATGCCGCCAGCTGCTGAGCGGCCACTTGTTGGGCCGCGAGCCTTGGCTCACAGGAGGGCGAGGTTCGTCGGTGCTCGTAGCAACGCTCGTTGGATCCGTTTGTGGAACCCGTGTCTTGTTCCTAATTCTTTGCATGTATTCTTCTTAATGGTTTTCGTTTTCGTGGGTGGATTTTGTTGGAGGGATTTTGGGGCAGTTGTGGTGGAAAAGCCTAATTGGAAGCAAGTGATAAGCCTGACTTGGGAGATGAGGTTTTGCAGCTTGAGAAAGCATCGAACCTACATGTCAGACTTCTGTCATCTTATGTCTAATATGCAAATAGAAGCGCCCGGGCCTGGAAGGTCAACTGAGATGGGACAAAAAGGCACCACTGGAAGGGAGTTAACTATACTATAATAACCATAACCTATACCTTGCCACATGGCCGTCATTTGCTGAGGCCCCAGTCAAAAAACAAACGACACATCAACACCATGGAATCGTCAGGTCAATCTTCCGGCCAGATACGTGGAGAACACCCCACGTGTTCCACATTTCACCTGTTGAACCAACACCAACACCAACCTACCTGGTAGCAGCTGAGCCACTGTTGATAGTACAGTTGGATTGCCAATTGCTGCTGCTGTGCCGCGGCAGCGAGCCTTGGAGTCTGTGACATGCAGCGGAGGTCAAGAGATCAAAAATCGAAAAAAGAAGGAGGTAGAGTGGTCCCTCAATGCATGGATACAATTTACAATATCTGAATGTGTGGGCTAGTGCATTTCGGGGTCACAGTAGATAGATGTAGATAGACTAGTATAGACCAAAAAACAATTCTTAAATGTTCCTTATTATAACCTGATCTATACTTGATGGTGGCAGTACTGACACAGAACAAACACTTCATCTAAAGCTTGAAGACTAGTCTGGAGAAAGAAGTGCCTTCCGAAGTGCGCCAGCACTCCAGTCTATTCAGCTCTTCCAGCACTCGGATGCTCTAGCAAGCTAGTAACAAGAAGCTACTAGTAACAAGGGCAGCGGCATCGGTTACTACTAGTAGCAAGGACGCTTAGGCGTCCAAAACGACTACTGCCTTCGTGGTCCCGGTTGACGAACTGTCGTCTCCGTCCACGGCACTGCGCGGCCGCGATCTGCGAGGCCGCTGCGGAGCTGGCAGCGTCCAGGCCGCCCAAGGCAAGGCCTGGAATGCCTGGATAGATCGGGGGAAGAAGGACAAACATTTTTCGGGGAAGAAGTGGTTCCATTCTTTTTGGTTTGGGGAGGACTTTCCGGAAGACTGGAGGAGGGCGGGAGGAAGACTGCCTGACTTGAGATATTTTGGTGGGTTTTTTGTGACTGGGAGTTTGCTGGTGCGGCGAGGTAAATATCAGGTACAAACGTTCAAGCAACGTGAGGCCTCACAAGTGACAACCCAGAAGTCCAGGGCTCTAGACTCTAGGTATGAACTTCAGCCTTGCCGAGTGCTCAGCAGACTCACCCAACCCGCGGAGAATCGGAGAATCGTGCCGGCAGCGTGCTCTTCCAGCAAAGTCAACTGGACCGGGCTGGGTGGCTTCCTCCTCGAGCATTTATAAAAGGCTCGATGTTGAGTCTTCCGACCAACATCTTTCTGGATGCACACCTGACCAATGGGCTAATTACTCTGAAAACCGCCTGAATCAGTAGCAATGCATCCCCTGCTGCAACAACGCCACATCTCCAAGTGTACCACTGAGTATTCTCCTCTAACATCGTCTAGTAACTATTCTCATCTATTACTATTCTCTGATAGCACAAACACACACACAGGCACCTAAGAAGGGCATCCGTATTCACTTTTCAGTGGTCCTATGTTACCCGGAAAAACATACTATAATTGCACTGATGTCGCAGCCTCAGTTCCATGCCGCCATAGTGAGCACTCAATGAATCGCTATCCAATTTCTCGGGCAGTTGGAGTAACGAAACTAGCTGAGCTGCTGAAGTACATTACGTACTCTACCGGACCCGAATCATCCTAAGATTGCATCGAATCATCCAGCAAAACACGTCACCAGTGCCACCATCTGGAGCGGGCTCCTATCTGAAGGCAGTAATCCGCTAAGAGTTGGAACTTCCTACTAATATCGCTGTATCCTAATGCCTACAAGGGGCCTTTAGCCTCTCTAGATCTCTCTAGCCTTAGTGTCTGCATTCTCTACAGCAAGCTCCACTGCTGCCGTGCTTCACTGCTCTTCCAGTGTCTAGCCTTCCTAATCCTTTAGAGTTCCTTTGACAAAACAAATCAACCCGAGTGAGATATGACGGTTCTCTGTGATTGAAACATGATCTCTGAGGCTTCAGATTCCTTACCACAGCCAAACGCTCCCCCCCCCCAGCTTTGTGCTTTTGCCGGTTTCAGTCCCAACGGGCAGGCGGAAAAAAAACAGAACTTAGCGGGCCCCGGGTACACGGGGAGCCTGGCTGAGTAAATTCTGATCGCCTGGCGGTTTGGGTCCACTCGTGGCGATGCCAGATCCAAGATGGCCACTGTTGCGCCCCAGGTGGATTCAAAGACTCAACCCAAATCCCTGTGCTGAGAGCTGGAGGTGAGCAAGAAGCCCGACTCCCAAACAATCATCCGACTAAGCATAGACTGTCATCTATACGTATGTGCATCAGTGGCCACCCCGATCCGACCTCGCTGAGCACGACTTCACAAATCCGCCATCTCGGACCATCTTGGACCGTGGACCGTCTGGCATCCACTGTCACGAGAAGATCGTGGCCTCTTTAGAAGCGGAGAAGAAATCCTACCAGGTCGAGTAGGACAGCCTGAGGTATCTGCGATGTCCTGGGAGAAATACTCTACCATTTTTGTTTAGCCTTGGGCTTGCATCCCCTTCTATGTTGCATTCCCCGTTCTGGAAAAGCATGACCATGTGGCCTCGAGCGGAACACAACACCTTTTGTTATGAAACAGGCAAGAACGCTACCTGTACCCTGCACACACTCTGCACAAGCCTTTGATGTAAATGTGGGTCACAGCCCTAGGGCCCTAGGACTCCATTGCTTTCAAAATAGCCGGAAGAAATACTTTAAGCCCTGTAGTGTAGTGTAAAAATGATTGTGTATAAACCATGAGCGTCGTTCTTTGGCATTTTTGGTAAAATTAAAATAGCACCCGAACTCGAATCGCCTGGCCAAGGCGGCCAGTGCCCTGGCCATGCGCCTGCCTTGAAAGCCGGTCTGGGCATCGGTCGGTCAGAACTGAGGGTCTGGCCACTCTTGTTCTTAGCCATAATCTTCGCCTCCAATGGACCGCCCAGGACGCTGGTGAGTGGTCACACACGTGGAAAACAAAGGAACAGAACAACCACATCAAACCAGCAAACGTGGACACTTGGATTCTGGGGGGTTCTCTTGGACCTCTAAGGTGAAAACCGTCCAGCTGAGTGGAGGAAGGGTTATGTCCTTGCAACAAGACTGAATGATCTAAACTGCAAAACCTGATGACAACTATATTAATTATAATAGTGCATAATGTAGAACAATTGGCACCTGAACGGCTGGGCTCCTTCCTGTGAAAAGCCATGTTCATCTCAATATAGCTCAATACCATACTCTAGCCACATGCCACCACGAGAAGAGCTGACTCCCAATCTTTATAACTAACTATTCAGATTATTCACTATGCTGGTGGGCCTCTCCCTGCCAGTCCACCAAAACCGAAAACACCAAAACCAAAAACCGTAGAACATCAGTGCCGCTTCGACCTCGAAGCCTCTTTAAAGGCGTGCCGCTTGAAAACCGAAGCGTTCGGTCAGCCGAAGCCGTCGACTTCGGCTCGCTGAAGTCGAGTGGCCCAAACTTCCTCCGGCGTGCCCTGCATGTCCCGCTGGTTGAGCCCCGAGTTGTGCGAGGAATCTGGGCGGACCGGCGTTGAGACCGACGTCTCTCTGCTTTTTTTCTGCTGGATGAAAATTTGACCCACCTCCCACTTGTTTGTTAAAGGCACTTCTCATCAAACCTGCCAAAGACTGTCAACACACACATACATACAAACACACCGACACGAAGAGGTCTATCCACAGGGTGCAAGAACGCACAGGCATGGTGGATGCCCAGGATTGTGGAGTTCTTGTGGTGCTGATCAAAATGACCAGGAACAAGCCCGATAAATGATTGGTTTCACCAGCAAAACAACAGTTGCACAGTCTATCACAACATTTGGAGTCTTCCATTGTGCCAAGCACATTCCGTTGGATTCTATGCTGCTGCCACCAAGCTCTAGTTGTTTAATGATGACAGGGCAGTCAGAAATGGCTTGGTAGACACCCCTTCCCCAAGTTTTTGTGGATCCTCTGGGCGCCAGCCTCTTTCAGCACCGGAACTGCTGATGTTCCAAAAACACTTCTCAACAGATGTATGTGTTTGTTTTCGACATATTACTACTACAAAGGAGAGTAGCCGTAGTCGTAGTCTTTTCAAAGGACATGTTCTTTTGTTTGAAGGATGTGTCCGGGTCCGAGCCACGTCCCGCCGAGCCATTGATGCGGACCATCAGCGCCGCGGAAGGGTTCTTGCAATCCTTAGAGGAAGGGTTCGCGGCGGGTTCTGGGAAACTCTTCTTCCACGCACTGGGTGCAATCCCAACCGGATGGAAGATGGTGGAACCAAGTTCTGCAAAGGATGAAAGATGGAAGGAGATTTCTTCGATGTTCGGATGGGGATGGATTCTGGTTGTGGAAGGTGATAGCAGCACCGAAGTGAGCATGCAGCAGGTGAACTGGAAGAGATGGATGTTGTGAAATGATGGATGGTGCGGAAAACACCTGCCTGTTAAGTTATATATATACATATATATATACATTGTTTATTTGTTTAACGTTTTTCCTGGCAGGCTTGTTGGGAGGAATATTGTGTTTGGCAGGTGAACTGGAAGTCAAAGTTGTCCTGAGAAGGCCTCACTCATCCTTCGAGAGATAGTGAATGACATATATTGGAGCTTGTAATTTCAGCAATGTGACATCTTGCAATTCGTACACTGCCTGGAATAATCATGGAAGTGGAAAAGGGCCCCTTGGAACGAGGGGGGTTTCCACTTCCTTGTTGGTGTGTTGGTGACTCCTTGATCTACTGCAGAACGTCGGTCCAAAGTCGTCTCCGTAACCTGCACGGTCTACAGAGGGCCAACCCCTCCTGTCACTCTGACTCTCTTGAGAAAATACATTCATTGAGGTAGATATGATGTTGCAGCAACATCACTTGCTGCGTCTTCCAGAATTCGCAGACCCCTTGGCCTTTGGGATGGATGGCTTTCACGTTGATGTGGACTAGTTCAGGAGCTGAGCTACGTCCATAGGAACAGGGTTCTACACCTCATCCCTTGTGAAACTCAAGAATGTACTCCCTCAGAAAAGCCAAGACTGACAGGAGGTCAGCTGTTCCTGAACGACGGAGGGGATTGGTTATGATTGGTTTCATGTCTCAGACGCCACACATCCCTCACCTCCGAACGCGTCACGTCCGTCAGCAAGGCTCTGATAAGGAGCCTCGCTCCATGGCCTGACCCGGTGGACCGTCAGCGAGCTCCGACGGTATCCGAGGAGGGTTCCTGTAGGGTCCGAGGAGGTTCCATGGTCATCCAACGGATGAAAAGGCCTGGGAAGTTGGGACATGTGCTACTAGTCTACTAGTTGTGTGCTACTAATTAGTTGGGTCCATGAAATCGACCTTTGGGCACTATAAGATTTACAGTGGATTGAGAGCTTCGATGGCACAAGATGGCACACCATCCTGCTTTTTTTCAAAAAATGGCCCTCCATCTCCATCTGTCGACAAACATCTTGGGGTGCTGGGCCATCTACTCTGAAACATGTCGCTCTGCTGGGAGGTTCTCACCTGCAGCTGAACCTCGGGCGTGGCATTGCGCAGAGCGGAGGCCGCGCGTTCCTCAGAACGGAGCGGGCACCGCGTGGCAGAGGTGCGGGCCGGACACGACGCTTGGAATAGAAAAGGAGTGTAAAAATACAAAGAACATGATCTTGACATGAAATCATATGCCTGAAGGACTGCCTGAAGGCACGACATCAGTATATTGAAACTATCACTAATGACTGTCCTTCCTGGTGGTGCAATTCTTCATCATCCGTACAAAGAAATTGATCACACCGGTCGAACCCGCCCAGCCGAGACATCCATTTTTGACTCCACTCCACCGGTGGGAGCCACCGCCGACCTTCCCCAGTCAGACTCCGGGATGAACAGCATCTTTTAGCAGATGGAGATGGTTGAAAGGGGGTCAACGACAGGGTCTATGGCTATGCATGGCGATGCATGGGGTCAGGCATATGGGGATGGGCCCCCAACACATCGCTTGACCTGGAAGAGGTAGCTACGGTCTGTCCAAACCGCCACATCGCTTGGCCTCTCTGATCCCGGAGGGGGCTCCAGATCCTGGAGGTGAGTGCCTTTGTCCCTCGATACAGCAGAACTGATGTGATATGACCCAACACAATCGATGCAAAGCACACGACGTGTGTTTCCTGGCTCTATTTTTACATGTTTGCCGGTCAATGGATGTGCATCATCTCTACTTGACCCAACACAATCAGGACCAACACAATCCCTGTGTCTTTGGAGGCGCATTCATCAGAAATAGCCGTGTCTCATCAACTGGGTTCTCTGCCAAGAACTTCTCCACCGCCGCCGCAGCATTCGTCATGGCGAGTCAACTGAGACTTAATACAGACTCGTCAAATGCCAAAGCAGGCAAAGGAAGCGAAACACATGCAGCAAAGAAACACTGTTTATGTTTTCAACAACTCTTGGAGATCAGAGATAGATGGTTCTTTGGATTGTTCTAAAGCTTATATATATATATTATATGTATTACTCAATGACGCTTGGATGCCATGTATCACATAATGCTATAATGCCAACTCTGCGTTGGGTGGATTGGCAAACTGTGGGCCAACTGCCTGATCCTGCTTCAAGGAGACAATATCTGTGGAGACTCACTCTGAGGTCAACTCCTGACCTTCAATTCTTGGTGAGATCGCTCTTTTTCCCAGGCAGTTGATGCACAGTCAGCCTCTGCGCAGTTTACCCTTTGGCTACCTGGAACCTTGTACAGCTCTGAGTTCCATGCAGTTCAACACCGCTGCGGAGAGGGAAAGCTAACACTTGAATTCCTCTCTTTGTAAGATTGTACAACTTTTGCGGTGTAGGGATTCCCACGGTGTCGCGGTGTCGAGTTTTTTCTGTGGTGTCTGGTTTCGACTCCCACCGCAGAAAAACACTCGTCGACGTGTCGGGATTCCGACGTGTAGGGGAAGCTCAAACGGCCAAACTCGAGGCGTCCCCTGAATCTATGCCCCCAAGCTTGTTGGAGGCCTGTTACTTTTATTGTCCAGTGTTTGCTTTCATTGGTTTTACACACGTAGCTTTCCTCGTCATCGTTTCGTTGCTGAGAAAACCAACCCAGGCAGTCAACAGTTTGGCCAACGTAAAGCAAACCGATGGCCAGTGCATCTCTCTGGCAGAGATGAATCATTCAAGTTCCAGCCATACCCGCCTCCCATGTTCTTTTGGGAATCATAGAGGGGTTGGTTCTACACGTCGGGGTATCTCCTCTATTTATCAACTAATAGTACAAGGCCATATGTTCCAGCCATACCCTCCTTGTTCCATCCAGTTTTCCTCTGCCCGTTTTCCCCAGTTTTTCGCTCTTGGGCCTCTTGTGGCCTTGGCCGATGAAAGGAGTTGCACAGAGTCACAGAGTCGGTGGGTGCCACCGACTCAAAACGAACATGATCACAACCTATCTATATGCCAAAAAAGATGAGTGCTTGATTGAAATGGAACTATGCTCCTGGTTTTGCTCATGTATTCCTACAGATCCCAGAAATGGTGTGGAAAACAGGAACCCACTCACGGTCTCATGGAGCCGTTCGCACGGTCTAGCCGCTAGCCGTTTTCGCGGGGTTCGCTGAAACCAGGATTCGTCGTCCTGACAGAACTTGGTCGTCCGAAGACGACAAGGTCGGACAATCCAAATAGACAAAACGTGACAAAACCAAAGACATAGATGAGAAGATGATGTGCTGACAGTAGTGGCAAGGATTCCTATGTTCTGGTTCTATCTACTAGAGAATGACTCTTCCCAAATATAACCTGCCACCTTGCCATGACTGTGTGCATGTAAGGACTCAGCCGAACGTTCCAGTGATTGCTACCATCTACTGAAATGTTAACATGCATGCTACAACCTAACTCTCAAAACTCAAGAATTAACATAATATAACACATACAAAAACACATAAATTGTGTGTTTGTATGTTTTTGCCTTACTTAGTGCACCTTCTCTTACTGGGAAATTCAGCTGTGCATGTGTTGTTTTTCTGCTTTGTTGTTGCCTTCCAAAACTTCCTGTGGTGTGGCGGTATTTTGCTGCATAGTCCAGTTTTGCCTTCGTACATGCCCTTATATGTTGGCTGTGTCATTGGATCTAGCGTTTGCATGCATCCATTCAATGACCCCATCTACTACGTACCACAAATCAAAGCTCACCACCTACTACCCACCCCAAACCCACCAACCCACCCCAACCCTGGGACCCCACTGCTGTTCGTTCTCACCCTTTTCGTCTGACTCGACCGGGTTCGACTCGGGCCTTGGCAGGTCGACATGAGGGTAGTCCAAGGGTCTACGACGGTCTGTTGGATAGTCCAAGGCCTAAGATAGTAGTTCTTAGTGTATCCTAAGGCCTTAGAGTATCCCAGGCCCTATACTTTAGAGGCCTAGAGTGTATCCTAAGGCCTATGGTATCCTAAGTCTGCCAATATGTATGTATTAGAATGCACTCTGGATTTGTGAGAGACACAAATGTTTGGAGCCTCGTCTCCTGAACATTAGGAGGTCTTGGTCTGGGTAGAAATGCTCCCTGCTTTGTCTAGGACCCGTGTGTTCCCAGCAACTCTTCCTATTTTGAGACATCCGTTCCGACCTATCTCCATATGTCCATTGTACAGCCAGCCTGATGATCATATGATTCTACAAGGACGCGCCTATTTTCACAAGGACGTCCCCCACCCCATCTTTGACTAGCTAGCTGAGAGCTGGGACCCCACACCCAGGCTTCGACTTCTCCTCTTCCACCCCCCCTGGGAGCTCCGGGTACAGCAAAAACATGGCAATCAAAGGAACATTGGATGGAACCATCTTATAGGTCCATCCAGTCAACCCCTTCCCTTCAACAAACATTTTTACGGAATGAGCCCTTGGAAGTCCATTGTTCTTTACATTAGGCTTTCATGCTATATAATTTATGGTAACATTCTGGCTCGTATTGCTAGGCAATCTGCCTGTGCTCCTGAGCTTCCTCACTGGCTTTCTTCCGCTGGTAGCTTCTTCCCTTCCAACCTCGATGGCGTGTGTGGTCTCCGGTGTGTCTTTCATGGAGGCTCAGAAACCACTAGTTCCTCATGTCTTGATGTCTTGGGACCAAGACATAACAAAACCATTCGCAACTTCAAAACATCATGAATACACTCATGATGACATCATGTTTCTGATTTGGAGGTCATGAAGAAACAAAACCAGTCCTTTGAAGAGCTTTTTTCAGCCCTGATGCATCCAGGACTCCTATCATGACGTCATCCCAGTCTGACGAGTTTGACCTATCATTATTGGTCGTACTGCGGTTACAGACGGTTACAGACTTCAATCTCTATCCATATCCAAAAATCGGCCGGCTCGCGTCTGGTAGCAAGTGTGGTACCGCAAGAAGGACAAATCCCGCAAGGCAGAAAGCAAGGGTGAAATCTGCCTTCCACGTTGATGATTCATGATGGTTGTAGGCATCCACCTGCTCTCCATGAATGGATTGAGCAGCTTGGATACTGTCAGTCAGTCACCGCTGCTGCCTTCATATTGAGGACCGCACGTTGGGTGATCTGGCTCCTCTGGCTCCTCTTGACCCCCCTTAGTGGGAAGCATTGGAAGATGCTGTAAATGCATCAACTCAGGTCGGTCACAACCCATACCTGGAAGTAGAGGGTGAAAGCAAACATCCTCCATCTGGTAAAAAGATGTTCCAAGCAAAAGCTACGGAGACCACTAGACCACTGCCACACAACTCCAAGGCACCCCAAAGATGTCCGAAGGATGCGAAGGATGCAACAGCCACTTATGGAGGACTAGGTATGCTGACCGAAGGCTTCAATTCCATCCCTTTTGCTTGGGTGACCTATGAGATGCTATGAGGAGGGAGCAGGTCCACCCATCTCTCAATAGGCTCCAACCACCACGCTTTTGCCTTCTTTCTGTGAGCTTCACAGAACAGGAATCAACATCCCAAAAGGTAGCGGCGAGTCCGAATCCGACGTTAGTTGGAAGATCGGAGATACTGCCATAAGTTGGCCCAGTTTGCCCTTCGCAAACAGCGACTGCTCAGTCAACCCTCATCCGCATGGGCATGGGTTTCTTCATATGATTTTTGCTGCGATCCACCATTCACTTTGGAAGTTCTTTTGTTCCGACGCTTCCAAGGTTCGCCCCAGAATTCCCCGCTGCAAGACACGTCAAAACGTCCAAACCAAGGGGCCCATGAGGTGGGTCGATTCTTGTCCACGCGGTACCTGCGCGGACGAGGAACACTCGCGCATCGATTTGTGTCGCTTCACTCGCACTGAAAACACGCGAGTTTGGTTGTTGCGTGTGTTCTTTGAGGTTAGCTCCTCCATGACTGAGAAGCCACGAAGGGAGCCCGCGTGAAAGGGGTTCTTACCACACAAGACACGAGTGGTCGGTTTGTAGCAGCCCCAGAAACAAGTTAAAATAAGTTAAATATACTGTATACATCTGTATACCTAGCGCCTAGCCCCTAGCGCATCGCTAGGCGCCGATGGTCTGCTGGTTGGGTCATCCTTCTTCAGCAGAAACGGGACCCAACCTGCGGACACCCAGCAGAAGCGGACCTCCACACGAAAACGACGTCAACCAGTCGAAGATCAAAGCAGGTCGCATGCTGGTCGGTCCCCCGTCTCGGCAGGCTTCATGATATGTCTATTCTTTGGTTGGGGAATGGGGATGATGGCCCTGGTGGAACACATGCTGCGCACATCACTATCGTATCTAGGCACATCACTCTGCCTGGGCAAACTCTGCTGGTTGGGGGGGGGTGGACCTGATGAAATGTTCCAATAGCTCCAGCGCTGGGAAAAACATGGTGACCGCACTGCGCACTTCCAGCGCTGGTAGATGTAGATAAAGAAGATGATGTCATCTCGAAAGCAAGCCAACCTGGCATCCCAGCCGGCTCTGGCGGTGCTTGTGGAGACTCAACTTTTGGTTCCTGGCGGACTTCAACCTCCATCCAGAATAAGTCTTATAGGAGCCTTTCGAGGCAAAAGCAACATAGATAGATCGAGCAGGGACTGCGCAGTCGAATCTCTTTTGACGTGTTTGAGAAGTAACCTTCCAATAATCTGTTTGAGAAGTGTGATGCGATGACAATTCGGCCGGTGAGCGACCAGGACCAGAATCTATCAAACGGACCAGGACCGAACACGTGCAAGGATCAAGATCCAAAGGCCTCTCTGGTGTTAAACTCAAACGGACCTGATGGTCTGATCGTGTTCGTTGCAAGGCTTTTGGATTTAACTGGGGCCTGGGATGTGGCGGTAAGGTCTCTGACAAAGGCAAGCACTACTCCAGAGTCAGAGGCGCATTTTTGGTCGACATCGTTGGAGCATCTCCGCCCATCTGGGCATCTCCGCCATCTCTTTCACATCCTTTCATTTCTTCTTGATGCTCTTCCGTACCGCTTGAGCTGCCGGCTTTCCAACGACCTGCCGGCTGTGATGGCTGGAAGGAACTTGAGAATACAGTATGGGGAGTCGTACAAAAAGTGTGCCTTCAGTCGAATGCAACTTCCTGTTGCGTTCCCGAACTCCATCCGATCTTTATGACTTCGACTCCTCATCCAACCTCTCTACTCTTCCTCCTCTCACAATCTCTCACGTCTCCACATCGCATCCACGCCTTGGAAGACGCTGGCGACTGGACCCCCTGGAGCTTCACATGTGTCCACAATGCCTTGGCAACCTGATCGCCGGTCCAGCGGTTTCCGAGCTCCAAGGCTTTCGCCTGAACCTGACGATCGGGCAGAGGGGAAGGTCGGGACAGTCAAGCGGGACGGCAAGGGATTTAGTTCGTCATTAGGGGCTGGCGTGTTGTTTTGAGTGCATGTGTCTTTACAATGAGGTGACACATGTCATGTGATCTATTAGTTTGGGTAATTTCCTGTTGACATATTATCAGGAAGCTACTTCATTGATGGAAACCGGCTTGTAACTTGCAGTCTTGCTGGACCAACATCTTGCAAGGCATGCACAGCTGTACCCTACACTGCTCCACGCCACTCTACTATCGATCCATGAACATCAGGATGCTTTACCATTTGTCTCGAAACCGTCCCGATGACGGTTGGCCGGATGTTACACATTGTCTCAAAAATCTTCAGGCCAAGTGAGTAAAGAAAGCTTCTTTGGAGCTCATAGACGCTGGTTTGCTTCAATTAATTATGCAATTATACGTGCATCAGTATGCTGAAACACACTGAAACACTGGACACAATGTGTGGTGAAATCTGCTGTCCGGCTTTCGACATCTGAACCAGGATTCATGAATCGCGGGCAAGATGCAAGCTGATTGAACCTAGTGTAGGTCTTCATATCATACCTCGAGGGACTCAGGAGGTCAAGCAATCATCTTGGACTTGCTGCAGTATCTGACCATATGACTGTCTCAGTCATGACATTCGATTTCAAGCTTCAACGTTTCGAAGAAGAAACATGTGGGATCGATGGGAAGCAAGCTGTTTCTTCTCTTAGCAAGCTGTTTAGCCGCACTTCAAAAAGAGTCCAAGACCATCTCCATCCCCTCATCCGCATCCCAAAAAAACCTTTAAGCCGAACACCAAGACCCTGCTCGGACCCGAGACCTAGAGCGACCACCCGAGCCTGTTCCCAGACCCGCTACAGAGGCTTTGGGAACGGTTTTTTGGACACCAAGGAACGGGTGCAGGGGGACCTGGAGTCCACCATGGAGACCTGTTAGGAGTAGAAACCCGTTTCGGTTCGATAGACCCTTCTAAGCCATTAGACCCCTTGGGCCAGGGGGGTCACCCTATTACCATCAACTACCCATTTCTGCCGGCAACGGGAAATCCCCGGATCGAAGCCTGTGAACCGAAGGGTCCGAGCCGCTTGATGTCTGCGGCCCTCTTGAAGAGCCCGGAGCCAAGGACAGCCTCGGCTTCAAATGGATACAGTTCTATGGCTGCGAAAGAAACACCTCTCTGTCAGCTTGACCTTCTTAAATGCTTGAACCCAACCTGACCTGATTCCACAATACAAACATGGTAACATCCTGCTCAGGACCCTCAGCAAAAACACCACTGGGTAATTGGGCCAAGAGTGTCCTAAACAATTGTAAACAAAATACAGCTATTGAATGTTTCTTGTTTGAAAAAACACGAATATTATACATCCTCTATATACACAATATATATATATATATACTAATTCCCCATACCAACCACCCCAAACCTCGGCCTCCTCCCTTTTGCGCTGTCGACGTCAGCGCCGTGGGCGCCTCGTCGGACATGTAGGCCACCCGCTGAGGCGTCGCCCGGCAGAGCAGCGCCGAAGCGGTGACCGGGCCGACGCCCTGGAGGCTCGTGAGCGCCTGGGGAGGACCACGGATCGTGACGGAGCGACCTCGGAGCGTCCACCTGTATGAGAGGGAGAGCAGGCGAGAGCGGACCAACATGGGTGTTAAAATCCATCAAGTCACTTGAAATCAATAACAACAAGATGTGTGAACCATTAAGTCATCAGCTTCCTCATCAAAAAAGGAGAGCTCTCCAGCCTTCACAGCTTTGCTGCCGTCGGCGTCCGGTGCAGCTAAGAGGTCATAGGCAGCCCTGAGAAGACCAGGGGAAGGTGGACCGGGGGTGTTGGTCTCCGATTTGGGGAAGCTTGGGGTGTTCAGTGGTTTCCGTGGGATATGCATGGTCATATCTTTCTTTTGCAAGGTATTCTTCACTTGAGAATGATCTGCTTCACCTACTTCTTCACCTGAACACCGCAGTGAAGAAGTAACTCTTGTCGGGTGGTTGTAGCGGAGTTGTCAAATCAAACAGGAAAGGAACGTATTGTGTATGATGCGTGGCATACCCAATGTTTCTCCCCACAAAAGTATCTCAAAAAATCAGATTCAGACCTGGTTGGTTGATGGGTGCTTCAGCACATTATGGCTTTAAACGACCAGTCCATCTACCAAACGGGTCGAGCTTACTTCGAAACCCAAGGCGCTGGAAGCAGCGCTTCACTTCCTCCTCGCTGTTGAGCTGGGCTTTCTGCAGTAAACCCGGACGGAAGGTGCCGCGCGTGAGCTTCCACTCCTGGGAGCGAGTTGGAGTTGAAGTTTCCGAAACATCCAACCTAATAGCGATGGCCTCCAACCATGATGAAGATGAAGTTGGAGTTTTTTGGGAGTTTCCAAACGAAATATATAAATGGGAGATGGAGATGGGACTCCGAGTTACGGATCCCAGTGTCAAAGCCACGCCTCTATTGGAATGAGTAGGGAAAAAAAAGGTCCTCGAGCCCTTCATCCATGGGCCTCGTCTGTTGGGGACGTTCGAAGGGGAACTTCTTGACCCGCCGCCATGGCCTCCCCGCATCGGTTGGCCGAGACTCCAAGACTTTCAGCAAATAAGCCTGCAGGCAAATAGGAATGGCCTCCACCCTAGTAGCGATGGCCTCCCACCCTAGTAGGGTCCTTGCTAATGTGAAGGCAGTGACGCTGCTTCGTGTCGCTGCTTCATCCGATGTTCCCGACTGGTGAGGGGCCTATGCGCTCTTGGTTGCCAAGGGGTGAAGAGACGGTGAACATCTCGAGGTCATATATGGCCGTGGGTCAAAACCAGGATATTGTTTGACCTACCTGGAAGGTCAAGCTACATTGTGTTAAGGCTCCAGGTTTTGACCAATCCCCATATGTGGAAAACTCCACCACACTCATCAACCCTCCACCTATTCCGTGAAGCTGTTCTTCCTTTCTTGCGAGGACAAGATCGGCTGTGGGGTACTCCTAAGCCGCTCATTTGAACATTTTGGAAGCCGGACATGTCCATCTCAAGTCTTCCTATCTTTTCCCAAGCTTCGCTCGACCAAGATTCAATATACTTCCTCCCAGAGTCGGTCCTCAAGATCTCAGACCCCACACCAAACCCATTCGAGTCGGACGACTGCCACATGAAGACCTTCGCAACCCCGAAAAAGCCAACGCGAGCCCAAGTTACGACATGGTGGCCTTGTCCTTCTTGGGCTCCGTCTTTTGAAACCATTCATCCAGAGCTTCCAGCTTCGAAGGATCCTTTCGAGTGAGGGGGGAAGCAGTAGAGCCGGTGAGTATAGAGCCTGGGAGGCGGAGAGTGGGAGAGTGGGATCCGTGAAAAAGCATCCAGAAAACCAGGCTCTGGAGCCTCAATGTTCGGAGCATTCTCTCCAAGTCCGGTTCAGAGATCTTGGTCCAAAAGTCGTCCAGCACGTCAGGCCGAGTGACCTGCTTTCGGCTGGCCAGCTGACGTAAGGCCGAGCCGTAACCCTGCAAGGCTTTGCTCCAAAGCTGGCCATCGCAACTGGCCATGAGAGACATGGTTCCCAAAAGGGAACATATACACATCTGTGGTGCACCAAGGTTGCCCAAAGCTCTGATTGTATGCGTTTATCACCATCCAAACCACCAATCATGAAATCGTAGAGATTCTACATATTGGGTTACACCCGGGATGGACTTCTCAGCAGAACTCGTTTTGTACCAGTCAAAGTGATAAAGGATCAGTGGGGTCAATCCAAGGCTGTGCCTGGCCGGTGAAAACAATATGGGCCGAATCTCTGTGCGATGCGCTTGTTATGTTGTTGCTGGCGCCAAGACAGCCTTGAAAACGCTTGAACAGCCACAGTGCGCGCGAAAACATATACGGTAGCACACAATGACAAACCATCTGGCTTCCTGCCGCATTCTTTGAACGCTCTTTTTCACTCTGTTTCCTCAATGGCCACCAAGATATCAAATCTATTCTTTGCTCCGTATGCTCTTCTTTAAAGAGCACGACATCCTGCAAAAGAGGCCGGCCGGCCTTGCCTGTTTTTTCATGTCTTTCAGGGACACCAGGTCATAGACCGTGCGACGGGCCGACGGCAAACTCGCGCCAGCACGAGCGACTAAGTGACTGTCGGCCATCCGAAAAATCGAGGAGAACTGGTGCCTTAAAGAAACGGAATGAACATCAGTCTGACCATGAGGAAATGTGTCTGGCAACCGGCGCATTTTCTCTTTTTGACTTCCTCACCTCCTTCGAGAAGACGGTTTGTGTGTCGAGTAGCAAGGGATCAGGAAGGTCGTAGGACGCATAATTCTCGTAGTATGCTTAACTGACGTTGCTGCAACTGATAGATAGACACCAACATTCTGGTTGACAGTGCCTGGTTTGCAAAGCACTTGGTGAAGCTCTGGGACTGGAGGATACCGATCTTTGGAGAAACCCAAAGATAAAATCCTTCTTGGGACTGTCACTGGTTCACAGCCTCACCACATCTACTCCAGGCAACCGAACAGGAACATAGACCACATGAAGCCTCTCCAATCAATCTCACCACTGCAGGTGGATGGACTCAGAACACAGCCAAAGAGCATCAAAAAGCTGCGTGCTGCTGTACTTTGAGGTACACTGTACACTAATTACAAAAGATTGGTATTTCCATGAGAGCGGGTCCGCAAAGCACCCCTTTGCTCCGACACCGGGGACTAGCAGCAAAAATGGACCTCAAAAGTAGCTGCATCAAACCCGCTGGCAGGTGCCCATGTCTGGGTGCTCTGCGCTTTGCACCACCCGTCCCAGATCTATCACCAAGCGGCCCGTTCAGAGCCTGAGGAATCAACATCAGAGCACAAAAAAAAAAACAAAAAGACAACTAAAACTACCTTGAGGACCTATTATTGTCTGGGTCATTACATGCTGGCTATTTAACGTTGAATCAATGAGTGGACGATGCTAGATTCGGATTGGCCGATCCCAATTCTCCATCTTTTGATGACACCCATCAAACGGCCAGTTTCGTCGTCTATTTCACGAGCAATGAGATCTGAGAGCGAGCAATATGCAGCCCCAAACTTGGCACCTCTTATATAATTAAATAAAATATGCCATGCCGTCCCATAACCCAAGTATTTGCAGATGATCGGTCTGTTGGTGGACGTCAATTCACGATCCGAACCTGACTAAGGATCCAAAGAACCAGTATCAACCAATAAATTGTTCTTCAGAACCCCCGGCTAGGCCGTTGCAGATCCTTTGGGAGGGCAACTCAAAGCGCGGGGCTCAGGGCACTCATTCAGTTTGAATGGATGAAAAGTCACTGAGAACGTTTCACTGTCCGGAAAAACTTGGATTACAGTGACCACCCAAACAGCACCCCCTCAAGAACCTCCATGGCCGGGTTTTGAAAAATGGTTTGAATCTGTTGGCAAAGGGATACAGTCCTCATATCGTCCCGCTTTGAGTCTGCCAGGAAACCAACCTTTCCATTTCTAGCACCCTGGCCAGATATGGCATGGTAAGGCTAAGAAGTTTGGTGTGCCAGGTCTTAATTTTATGAAACAATTTCTTCTGGGGGGGGCTTGACCAAGGCTGGGAAGAAAGCTCGTGAGGCGGCATCGGCTTCCCAATCAACCTGAGGATTCCGAACCTGTAGTGTGCAAACAACTCGATGGGTATTCGAGAGCTGCGGATTCGGATGGACAAGGTTGTTTGGAGAGCCTTTAAAGTTTTACATCTAGACTGGAAGAGTTTCAATTTGCATGAGACTGCCTTTTCTGCCACTACTACTGCTGCTGCTACTACTACTCCTCCTACTACTACTACTGCTGCTGCTACTATTACTACTGCTACTACTACTGCTACTACTACTACGACGACTACTACTACAACAACTACTTCTACTACTCCTGCTGCTAGTACCATACTACTACTACTACTACTACTACTACTACTACTACTACTACTACTACTACTACTACTACTACTACTACTACT